TATCCTCACCGGAGGACATTTTTCTATTTTTTGTTCAGGTAGAGCGGGAGGGAGAGAGAGGAACAGAGAGAGAGAGAGAAACATCGATGTGAAAGGGACACATCGAGTGGTTGCCACCCGCACGACCGACCAGGGCCGGGGACAAACTGCAACCGAGGTACGTGCCTTTAGCGGGAACCGAACCCGGATCTCTCAGGACCGCAGGTCGACGCTCTAACCGCTGAGCAAAACTGGCCAGGGCACTATTCCAGTCTTAACTCCCACTTAAGATTAAGAGTCTTAACATCCGGAGACTTGGAGAGGAAAAGGCCCTTTGGAAATGTCTCTGGAGGGGGGACAAGAATGGTGGCCGGGCGGGAGTGTGGGATGGTCACACGAGGGGTCTGGCCCGTGCGTCGCCGTCCCTGTTCTCACTTTTCTGTCCACGAAATCTCCAACTTCCCCTCCCCCCACCGTACGGTTGCCCTTGCAAAAACATGTTTTAATTGTCCTTGGAGGGTTCCCCACCCTCTGCTTGTTTTTGACCACCCGGTTCAGGAAGCATGTGATGACTAACTTTTGGAAACCGGGCCACAGTCCGCTGGCAGGAGGGCGTGACTGTCACTGCCCTTGACTCTGCGAAGGCAGCTAATGACACGCCGGTCGTGGTGGCTGAGGAGATGCCTCTGTGTTCTCTTGGTCTTCCTCAGCGAGATAGGAATGTTTACACGAGGATGAGAAGGACAGTCATCCAGGGACCCTTTCAGAGCCCCGTGGAAAGGGCATGTTTGAGGAGCTGACCCGAGTGGCTCGTGGGCAGAGGGAGGAAGGACAAGCTCATCGCTTCTGTCTGGGGATGAAGAAGGATGGGCCTGAGCTTTGAGACCCTCCAGCCCTGGGCTGTGTGTCGGGAGGCCTGTCCCTCCAGGGGGAAGGCTGTTGGCCTCCCTGGCCGAGCTGTGTCCCCAGCCCCGTGCAACCCACACATGGATGAGGAACCCGACTTTCGCAGTGTGGTGGCTACAGCCCTTCAGCTCCGGAGAACCCAAAATTCGTCACGCGTGCGGTGCAGCACATCACACGGGTCGTTGGTTCTCCGAAGGGCATCTGAGCACTAGAGGTGGCCAAACCTGGGCTTCATCCGCCTGGCCCACCTGCTGGCGATGGCGACCTTGTCGTGGTACCATTCAGGGTTGTCAGTAGGGTCACTGCGACCGTCCATGGAAAAGGCCCGCCAGGTGATTGGCACTTACTAGATGTTGGTCCCCTTCCTTCCCTCCCTAGCCACCTCCCCGCCCCGATTCTATTGTTTAGACTGCAGTGGTTCTCAACCTTCCTGATGCTGACCCTTTAATACTGTTCTTCATTGTCTGTGGGCGTATCTGCATGTGGGCAGACCTGCCTGGAGACGGATACAGGAGTGGTGTCTCGGTTCCTACGACCATCGGAAATATGTGTTTTCTGATGGTCTTAGGCGACCCCTGAGAAAGGGTCGTTCGACCCCAGGTTGAGAACCGCTGGTTTAGAGAATTCCAAAGTGAACCTGGTCATGGGTTGGTGACCACCAGGGTTTTCTTACTATTGTTGGGTTTACCCAAACTGAACCAGTTAAATTGCCACCTGTTAAAAGTAAGCTGTTATCCCAGGCAGTTTCGCAGGGGCCTTCAGGGGGGCGCGGGCACCTTCAGGAACGCGAGTGGAGTGTTCTGCAGGATGGAACCCACGCTCTGTGGACAAGGACTCCGGGAAGCTGGCCCAGTGTCTTGTCGGCGTGGTCGGCTTCTCCGTGGTGTTCACACAGCTCGCATCCCCGAGAAGGAGGAGAGGGCGTTTCCATGTTTATGAGGACCTCGCATTCTTACTCCTCTCTCACACCTGACTTCGGGGCCCCCTCCGGCCATGCCGAAGGATGGGGTGGATGTGGTTCTGCGGTCTGACCAGCTGGTCGTGGGCCTGGTGCTAAAGGATGATGTCACCGCTCTGGTCTGAAGCTAGAGAAACAAGTCTAGCCCATGGTTGTCCTTGTAACTTATCCTGGGAGAGAGAAGCCATAAGGGGGGTCCCCAAGGGACGCCCCTTTGATTGACTCATCCCGCAGTGGCATGCCCACTGTGAGCCATAGGGGGCCAGCTCCCTGCACGCCTTCTCTCACGGGGTGTCTGCCAAGAGCCACAGCCAGATGCGTTCGGGGTGCGGGGCGGGGCTGGAACGGCCTTGGTTTGTGTGGAATAACAAAGACTGTTCCCCGACTGCGGGGTGACCAGGAGGCAGGCTGAGTTCCAAGCCAGCGACTGTCCGGCCTAGAGCTGCTCCAGCCTTCGTTGGAAGTTGCTGGGGAATTTGTCAGAAGCACACACCTTGGCCCGACCTCAGAGTCTCCGATTCCCCAGGGACGGGGCTGCAAACCTGCGGTTCTGTCAACGGCGACCGGCGTGGTTCTGACGGAGGCAGGCAGTGGGCTAGCCCTGGATTTTCAGTACAGGTGTCATGGTGGGGGGCCCCTAGGAGTATCCAGGTGTGTGGGTAACAGTTACCGGGGAGACGTGCCCAGCCACACACACCTCCCTCCCCCTTCCCATCTCCACCCGGCTGCCCCATGAGCCGTCTTGACCCAGGAGGGCAGTACTTCCTTCAGCTCTGTGCACCAGGCGGACAGCCTGCTTTCCAAATGAGACCACGTATGGCACGGTCAGCGGGGAGGGCTCTCAGAAGGTGCTTCTGTTCTCCTTGGGGATTTTCAGGAGGCGGAGGGAGGAAGGCACACCCAGTTCGGACCCTCCTCTGACTTGCAGCTGTGGGACCTTGACCAGCAACTCAGACTTGAGCTTCACAGGTCCCTGTGGCCCTTAACTCAGGCCTCGCGGGTGGCAGGGGGTGTGGGGCGGGGGCGATGTTTACAGAAGACAGGGCGCTGAGCAGGCGTCCCAAAGCTTGTCCATCGCCCTGGGACCCTGGGAAAGACAGACCCCAGTGCGGGAGGCCTGTCGGGGGCCTGAGACCACGGACTTTGAACAGAATCCCAGGCGAGGTCGATGCTCCTGGTCCGTGGACCACACTGAGAAGGGGGATCTGAAAGGCCTCCCCTCCTGAGGTTGGCCGGGAACTGTTAGCGCAGGGGGTCGGCTACGTTAACACGCCGGCAAGACTTCCTTCAGTCCTAGAAATAGCGGGAGACCGTGACCTGACGCTGATCACGGAAACTTGGGCATAGAGGGCCTTCGGCCATCAGCACTTCTCTCCTGCAAATTACTGCTTGTCCCGAGAACGAGAATGTGAGGAATACTGGGAGGGCGGAGGGGATGATCTCCTCCGTGCCCGAGGGGGTGTCTCCAGCGCAGGCTTCGGAAGGGCAGATACAGGCAGCCCTTGGAGGTTAGGATCATGGTTCCTCAGGTCTCCTGGAGTTTACCTGCGAGGGAACGGCTTCTCATTTATGTATTTACTTTTATTGATGTTAGAGAGGGAGGAAGGGAGAGGGAGAGAGAGATAGAAACATCGATGAGAGAGAACATCGACTGGCCACCTCTTGCATGCCCCCACTGGGGATCGGACCCACAACCTGGGCATGTGCCCTGACCAGGAATTGAACCGGTGACCTCTTGGTGCATGGGTCGACGCTCAACCACTGAGCCACACCAGCCAGGTGAGGGCATGGCTTTTAAATATAAAACAAACACAAAGAAGAATGTCTTGGTGTCTTCCAAGAATGCCAACTTGGAATTGGTGTGGGAGTCAGCTGGAGGGGCTGTTGGAATGCAGATTGCTGGGCCCCACCCGAGATCCTGAGTCAGTCGGTCTGGGTGGGGCCTTGGGAATTTTTGCACGTTTAATACATTCCCAGATGATTCTGATCACACTCTGATTGGTACAGCTTGAGTCCCCCAGGCCAGCTCCGAGAGAGTGGTGACATGGAAAACAGCGTCCTCTCATGGCCAGCCCGCCCCATCACAGTGGTGCTGCCAGGAATGGGAGTGTTTCATCGGGGCTGGGGTTTGGGGTGCGAATGGGGAGTCTCCTGTCTTCAGGTGTCCGAAGGTCCTAGATGGTGAGGAGATAGGATATTGCTTCTGGCTCCCACAGGGGGCTGTTCCCAGCACAGCGTCTGCGGCTAGGCTCCCTGAGCTGGCTGGTTGGCTAGTCGCCTAGGGGGCTTGGTCCAAATAGAGCCTCCTGGTGCATGCTGGGAGACTCTGGGAGCTGCCAGGCTCGCCCCCTGTGGGGAACAGTGCCGTACCAGCTGAGCAGCAGAGTGCTGCTTCCCTTCAGTGATTCTGGATTCAGCTCTAACGATTCCCTGGCAGGAAATTGGACCCTTTCTGTAAAGTGCGTTTCTTTTCCGGATCCCTAAAGTTACAGTTGATAAATTCTGGCTGCATTTCCCAAAGTGCTTGATTTCCCATCCGAGGATGGCTACCAGCCAGTGCTGGCTGGCCAAAGGGCTACAGTGGGGTGAAGCCCCCCTCAGAACAGCCCTGACCACAGCCACCTGGCGCTGGGCAGCATTGGTGCCCCAGTCCCAGAGGTCACACTGCCCGGGCAGACTCAGAGTCAGGTGGAAACGGAGGCAGTGATTTTGATAATCAGCTCCAAGGAGCAACGTTTCCCCTTTCTGTTTGTCCTGCACGGACTCGAGGAGTTTCCTGGTTCACCGGCAGGTGGTTGGGCGCGTCACTGGACACCATGCTCTGTGCCTGGTGGGCTTTGTAAAGGTGAGTCAGGTCCCTGCCTCACGGTGTCCACCTGGGGGAAGAGGCACCGGACCACTTGGCTGTGGAGGCCGCAGGACTTGTGCATGGTGCATATCGAAAGCAGGCCACGAACCAAGTCCCCTGGTGACGATCTCGCTTCACAGATGGACAGTTTGCTTCTCAATGTGTGGTGCTTGGCTTAGGTCCGCTGGGTCCTTGCACAGGGATGAAGCTTGACGAGTCTCCGAATGAGGCCGATGGGTCAGGACCACGCTCTGGCTCCTGGGCCGCCCCCCGTGGGATCACACACTGACCCGTGCTCTGTCTCCGCAGTTCTGTACGGAGCTGAACCAGCCGGTCCTGCCCAACATCCGCAAGTGGAAGGGGCCCCGGGGATGCTGGAAGGCCGTGGTCGCGGACACACCCTCCACTCAGCTCCAGAAGGTACCGCACCTGCAGACCTGCACTTTCTTCCCTTACCGAGACGTCCTGTGTCACCGACACTTGTCATTTCCCTTTGCCAACATCCTCGACGCAGTCTTGTCTTTCTGCCCATTTTCGCCATTCGTTTCAAAACGCCCTGCTTCTCGGCCGTCTGTGCTGAGACCAGGACCGGATGGCTGCCCAGGCGGAAATTGGAGTTTGGGTGTTGGGAGGAGGGGAGAAGTCCTACCTGGAGCCAAGGCAGCAAATGGGTATTTCTGTGCTTGGTCCTCATGACCTCTCCCCGCAGGTCGGCCTCCGCCGCGCTACGGAAAGCGCGTTGTTCGTGCGCTGAAAACCTCGTGTTGGCTCTCGGGTGGAAATTGCGGGCATGAAAATGGTGGCCATTTTGAGCAGATTTTAATTTTGAGTTTTCTTCCATTAATATCAGCCAGGTGACTGTCTGAACACATTTTCTCTCTTACGTATCATATGCGAGAACAGTGCTTGCTCATTCGGAAGGTTCGGTCTCTGTCGAGTTTTAGGTTCTAAAATAGACCTGTGGCCGTGAATCATGAGTGGGAAACGGCCCATCATGTGACCTTCCTATCACTGCAGAGTGTTACCATTTTAGCTCCAGTATAAACATATACGAATTGTACTTCCACGAGTGATCATTGAGATTTGGGGCTTTTACATTATAAGTGTATACTGGATTAAAATTATCTGGTCATTCATTGACCATAAGCTCCTTTTTCAGCTGATACTTAAAAGACATGATATAAATCTTATTTCTGTGGGTTTCATGTTTTGGAGGGTAGATGGTCACTGTGGATAGCGGCCCAAGGACACGCACGGCAGGCTGGGAACGAGGCTGACCTGGAATAGGCCTCATTTGACCACTGTAGCCCAGGGTCTCCGTCCTCAGTCCACCCAGGGATCATAGCACCTCGCTTTCTGTTGTTGTTAGCAGGTTCTCGTCGTCCCTTTCACACTCTGTCGGCATCCATTCACATCACTAGAAAGGTGACTAGTGCCAGGCATTGTTACAGGCCAGCTACCCACTGGGGCGAAGAGTAGACCCAGGGGCCCGGCCCTTCCTGTCTTTACTCTTTGTAAGCCCAGGGGGGTCCCAGCCTGAGCCTGATTGAGCCCCTCCCCCTGGGAACTCACCGCCTGCTGGCGGGACAAGACAGAAACCCCACTCAAGGGTGGGGTGTCAGGGCCATTGGACAGTAGCATGTGGTTGCAGGGAGGCCGGAGGTCAGGCCACTTCAGCCTGAACTCCTTCATCTGTAAGATGGGAGTAGTTCAGTCCCTGCCACTTCGCGCTTTGACTTTCGTGGCTTCGCTCTATCGCGATTTTTCTGAATATAGTACAATATGGTGTAGTACAGTACAGTACAGTACAGTATGGTATAGTGCAGTACAGTATAGTATAGTACAGTACAGTATGGTATAGTACAGTACAGTATAGTACAGTACAGTATGGTATAGTGCAGTACAGTATAGTATAGTATAATACAGTATAGTATAGTAGAGTACAGTATAGTATAGTATAGTATGGTATAGTACAGTACAGTATGGTATAGTACAGTACAGTATAGTACAGTACAGTATGGTATAGTGCAGTATAGTACGGTACAGTATAGTATAACACAGTGTAGTACAGTACAGTGTAGTACAGTACAGTATAGTACAGTACGGTACGGTACAGTATGGTACAGTACAGTATGGTACAGTATAGTGTAGTACAGTATAGTGCAGTACAGTATAATACAGTACAGTATAGTGTAGTATAGTACAGTATAATATAGTACAGTACAGTATAGTATAGTACAGTACAGTATAGCACAGTATAGTATAGTACAGTACAGTATGGTGTAGTATAGTACAGTGTAGTATAGTACAGTACAGTATAGTATAGTACAGTATAGTATAGTACAGTACAGTATAGTATAGTACAGTACAGTATAGTATAGTACAGTATAGTATAGTACAGTATAGTATAGTACAGTACAGTACAGTATAGTACAGTGTAGTATAGTACAGTACAGTATAGTACAGTACAGTATAGTATAGTACAGTACAGTATAGTATAGTACAGTACAGTATAGTACAGTACAGTACAGTACAGTATAGTATAGTATTTGAAAAAAACACGACAGAGCGAAGCCGCAAAGTCGAAGCGCGAAGCGGCGAGGGACGACTGAATCCTACTTGGCGGAAATTCATTTATCAGTGGTCTGGACCTGATTGACCACGATAAACGAGGGCCGACTGAGCCCCCTCCTCAACTCCAGGGTGGCGGGAGGGTTTAAAAGAGATCGAGCTTCGTCCACAGCGCGGGCCGGGCCTGGTGGCGTGGGGCGCATGAGGCAGCAGCCGGCCCGGCCACGTTGGGTTGGGGGTTCGGATCCCAGTCAGGCTGCAGCTCGGTCCAGGTCTCACCCGCTGCTGCCATGGAAGGGGGGGACTGTGGGCCCAGTGTGGACAAATGTCCCGATTTCTCAGAAGATGCAAATGTATACATTTTCATGTGAAATTTCCTGAATTTTAAATAGGAACAGATAATCCAAAAACCTTTTAAACACATTCCGGGTCTACTAGACGCCATGTGCAGCCATACATGTCCGCGCTCCAGCCTAGACGAACGAGCGGTCACGGAGCTGGGCACTGACGGGCGACACGCAGAGCCGGTAGATGAACTCACTGCCCACAGTCACCGCCGGGGCAGGGTGGGGCTCAGGCCGGGCCCCGCTGGGTCTCTGGCTGACGGCTGACTGCCCCCTGTGCCATGTCCAGGTGCTGCTGCTCCTCCGGAGGGGGCACCCCTGAGTCAGGGGCTCGGGGAGGCCCCCAGGAGGTGCACGGACCCCGTGGGGAGGGACCACTGCACCGACGTGCGAGCCCGCAGTGCCCAGCCTGCCGGGACGCGTGTGAGCAGGGTGACAGGCAGCGCCAGCAGGAAGCCGCCTGCCCGAGGGCCCCGGCTGTGGGCAGTGGGCGCCATGGAAGGTGGCGACGCGGAAGGTGGCCCGAGCCGTAGGCGAGGAAGCTTGCTCTGTACCACCCCTGGGAAGCGGTGCACGGAGGGAAACCTTCCAAAGCCGACAGGGAAAGATCTTTCCCTCGCTCGCAGCTGAGCAAATGGTTAGAAAACCGAGGGGCTCACGCAGGTCCCAGCGGCACAGGCGAGGCCCAGGGCGTCCAGGTCCTTTTTCCTTTTTTTATCCTCACCTGAGGACATGTTTGCATTTATCTTCAGACAGAGCGGGAGGGAGAGAGGGGGGAGGAGAGAGAGAGAAACATCCATGTGAGAGAGACACATCGAGTGGTTGCCACCCACACGACCCAACCAGGGCTGGGGACAAACTGCAACCGAGGTACGTGCCCTTAGCGGGAACCGAACCTGGGACTCTCTGGTCCGTGGGCCGACGCTCCAACCGCTGAGCCAGACCGGCCAGGGCCCTTCCACTTCTTACCAGCGCTCTGTCCGGTGCAGGCAAGTCTGTCCGTGGAAACACCCGTGTGCGGGCAGAGCCCTGTGCTGGTCCTTCTCCCTCAGCAATGTGTTCGGTCCGGCCCGGAGCCCAGCCAGGCCTGTGGCTGAGACCCCAGCTGAATGAGGTTGGGGTTGGGCGGAGGCCACTCAGGTTGTGCAGAATCGCTTCCTCTCCTGCGGCAGCATCGCGGGCCCCCTGGGTGACGCTGCAGATTCCACCAGGGCAGCAGAGATTCCAGCAGGAGCCCCGAGAGATGGGGCTGGGGTGGGGGTTCTCTTCTCTTTCCACGAATTCCCTGGTGGCAGCAGCTCAGGCAGGCAGAGTGGCCCCTTGACCGCCAGGGATGGCAGGGCCAGCACCAAGCTCCGGGACCCTGCCAACGCCACCCCACTTGCCCCCTTCCGGGTGCCGTGCTCCGGGGCCCCAGAGCCCTGTGCGGGTCCCTGTCCACCCGAGGCGGCCTGGGCTCCCACCGCTGGGGCTCCGCCCTGACCTCCACGCACTCTGCAGATATTTGCGGAGCGCGTACGAGGTGCCAGGCACCGTGTGTTGAGAGCGGCAAGTCCTCAGTGAGCACACCCACCCCTGTGGTCTTCTCGTTCTGATTCTCAGCATTGCCATTTGCTGGGGGTGTCAGGGAAGTTCCTTAACCTCTCTGAGCACAAGTCTTCCTGTGCCCATGGGAGTGGCGGGGGCACCTCAAGGGATGTGATGATGAAAAAGACACCTCTGTGCATAGCCGGGGCTTGCCCACGCCCCACCCACACAAAGAGAGCGCCCAGGCAGCCCTGGCTGTACGGGAGGCCCTCGGAATTAAGACGTTGGCGGATGAGACATCTGGAGGGAGGGCAGCGAGGAAGAACGCACTGGGCCTCCAGGGTGAGCTTTCGTTTCAGAAACAGCCCTGACGGCGTGACCTCAGACCTCCTGCTGCATCCCCAGCCCCTCTCCAAACTAATGCCCCTCTTCTCCCGCAGGGGGCCGGCTTCGCGGGATTCCTGTGGGACACCTGGGCCGGCGTGGAGCTGAGGGACGCCGCCTCCCAGGAGAGCTCGCCGGGCAACGGGCTGGGGAAGCCCTCGGGGCCCAGCCCCTACCTCGCGTGGTTCAAGGTACCTGCTCCGCGTCACCTTGAAGGTCACTTCTAAAGAGGGGGAGAGACTTGCTCTGTGAGCTGTGAGCCAGAGCAGCCCCCTGTGTCCACCTGGGTGGGATTCCCTCCTGGGTGTCACTCGGCAGGCGAGCGTGTCCAGGGCAGGAGCGAGAGGGATCTGGAGGCACCCAGACTGAGGATCTGACATCTGGGGGGAAGGACAGCGGGTGCCAGCTCCCAAACCGGACACTTGTCAAAACCATCTGCAGAGATTTCCTCACGATCAGGGCTTCCTGGACCCCAAGACCTACAGAACTACCGGGATGGGGCCCAGGACAGTCCGTGCTTAGAAAGCACCTTCATGCTTCTTTGGCCCCCCGCCCCGCCCCCCACTCCCACCCCTACCCCACCCTAGCACTGGTAGTGGGGTCAGGCTTCTGGTCTCCCTGGACGAGAGGGCAGCGAGGACCTTCTTCTCCTTGCCAGGCCTTCGAAGGGACACGGGTCCGGTGGGGGTTAGGAGGAGCCTGTGGGTGATGGGACCAGGACGGCTCGGGGTGAGCCCCCCTCTGTGCCAGTCTGTCCCAGGGTCACAAGCAGCAAGCGGACTGAGTGGGCTCTCAGTTCCCCAGATGTCCTGGGAAGTGCCCACGGCCGGCAGAGGGTCAGACGCTGGGCAGCAGGAGGGAGAGGCCAGCAGCCAGGACAGATGCCCGACCGGCATGGACTGGCCTCATCCCCACGGCTGTCACTGTGAAACCACGGGGCCCAGCGCGTGTGGCCCCTCGCAGAGCCCAGCAAGCCGCCTGCTGCACACTGGGGACGCCCCCTCGTGTGCCCCAGAGCAGTTCGGAGCCTCAGAGTTGCCCAGACCCCAGGACAGTTCCTCTCGGGCCCCGGGATCCACCAGCTGGGGGCTGGGCTGCCCATGCGTTGGGGGCTGTTGGCTCTGGTTGGGGCTCACGCCCTTCCCACCCCTGTAGCTATAGAATTGCAGGGGTTCTGTGATCACACACCTACTTGGGGGGGTGTGGGGGGTGGAGCTTGTGGTACTGATGTGGAAACAGCCAGATATCATCTTTAAACCCTCCTTAACAACATCAGGGTCCCTTTTTCTGTGAAGCGGCTGTCCTGGCCTCGGCCAAGCAGGGTTGCGGCCAGAACTGGCCAGTGTGTGTGGACGGTGGCTGTTCTAATGGCACTGAGAAAGTGCTCTCACGGCGGGCGTCACTGGCCCGAACTCTCGGAGTTCAGCATTCCCCTCGCGTCACACTCTAGACCTGGCCGGTGGCACAGGCCGGAGCTGCGGCTCCTCTCCGGGCTCCCCAGCGGGGTTCCCCGGCCCACAGCCTGACGCATCTGCCGTCAGGGCTGCAGCTGCAGAGACCTCTCCGGGGTGCTGCTGCTGGTGGCAAGCTGGGGTCACATCTGTAAGACAAAACCGGCAGCCGCCACTTCCTGTGGGGCCCCCTGCACGCCCTCCCTTTGGGCAGTGTTTGGTATTGGTTGCCGTGACAAACAGAAGTCAGGATTGCCAAACCCCAGCAGCTGAGCAGTGCTGCAGAGCTCAGGGGACCGGCCCAGTCTTCACACTTCCCTGCACCCCACGGTCCCCTCTGGGGACACAGGACTGGGGCTGAGCCTATGCGGCCAGTATTCGGCCAGTCTAGTTCTTGACATGTCAGGTGAAAGCGAACATCGGGGTGCAGGGGTCTCCAGAGGGAAAGAACGCATCACAGGTGGGGGGGATGTGTGAGGGGAGGGGAAGGAGGCAGGTCCCAGCAGCGGGTCCTGCAGGGCATCCAGACTGGCCCCCCAGGGAAGGCCCCTGGGTCTTGTTAACAAGCAGCTGCTAGAACCACCCCCCCTTGTAGCTACTTAGAAGATAAAACCAAACCCTGTCGTTTCCAAATGTGCCCAGTGTCCCAGGCTCTGGGAGTGGGGAGTGATGTAGGGACCGTGTCGTTTCCAGATGTGCCCCGTGTCCCAGGCTCTAGAAGTGGGGAGTGATGTAGGGACCCTGTCGTTTCCAGATGTGCCCCGTGTCCCAGGCTCTAGGAGTGGGGAGTGATGTAGGGACCCTGTCGTTTCCAGATGTGCCCCGTGTCCCAGGCTCTAGGAGTGGGGAGTGATGTAGGGACCCTGTCGTTTCCAGATGTGCCCCGTGTCCCAGGCTCTAGGAGTGGGGAGTGATGTAGGGACCGTGTCATTTCCAGATGTGCCCCGTGTCCCAGGCTCTAGGAGTGGGGAGTGATGTAGGGACCCTGTCGTTTCCAGATGTGCCCCGTGTCCCAGGCTCTAGGAGTGGGGAGTGATGTAGGGACCCTGTCGTTTCCAGATGTGCCCCGTGTCCCAGGCTCTAGGAGTGGGGAGTGATGTAGGGACCCTGTCGTTTCCAGATGTGCCCCGTGTCCCAGGCTCTAGGAGTGGGGAGTGATGTAGGGACCGTGTCGTTTCCAGATGTGCCCCGTGTCCCAGGCTCTAGGAGTGGGGAGTGATGTAGGGACCCTGTCGTTTCCAGATGTGCCCCGTGTCCCAGGCTCTAGGAGTGGGGAGTGATGTAGGGACCCTGTCGTTTCCAGATGTGCCCCGTGTCCCAGGCTCTAGGAGTGGGGAGTGATGTAGGGACCGTGTCGTTTCCAGATGTGCCCCGTGTCCCAGGCTCTAGGAGTGGGGAGTGATGTAGGGACCGTGTCGTTTCCAGATGTGCCCCGTGTCCCAGGCTCTAGGAGTGGGGAGTGATGTAGGGACCCTGTCGTTTCCAGATGTGCCCCGTGTCCCAGGCTCTAGGAGTGGGGAGTGATGTAGGGACCCTGTCGTTTCCAGATGTGCCCCGTGTCCCAGGCTCTAGGAGTGGGGAGTGATGTAGGGACCCTGTCGTTTCCAGATGTGCCCCGTGTCCCAGGCTCTAGGAGTGGGGAGTGATGTAGGGACCGTGTCATTTCCAGATGTGCCCCGTGTCCCAGGCTCTAGGAGTGGGGAGTGATGTAGGGACCCTGTCGTTTCCAGATGTGCCCAGTGTCCCAGGCTCTAGGAGTGGGGAGTGATGTAGGGACCCTGTCGTTTCCAGATGTGCCCAGTGTCCCAGGCTCTAGGAGTGGGGAGTGATGTAGGGACCGTGTCGTTTCCAGATGTGCCCTGTGTCCCAGGCTCTAGGAGTGGGGAGTGATGTAGGGACCCTGTCGTTTCCAGATGTGCCCCGTGTCCCAGGCTCTAGGAGTGGGGAGTGATGTAGGGACCCTGTCGTTTCCAAATGTGCCCAGTGTCCCAGGCTCTAGGAGTGGGGTGTGATGTAGGGACCCTGTCGTTTCCAGATGTGCCCCGTGTCCCAGGCTCTAGGAGTGGGGAGTGATGTAGGGACCCTGTCGTTTCCAGATGTGCCCCGTGTCCCAGGCTCTAGGAGTGGGGTGTGATGTAGGGACCCTGTCGTTTCCAGATGTGCCCCATGTCCCAGGCTCTAGAAGTGGGGAGTGATGTAGGGACCCTGTCGTTTCCAGATGTGCCCCGTGTCCCAGGCTCTAGGAGTGGGGAGTGATGTAGGGACCCTGTCGTTTCCAGATGTGCCCCGTGTCCCAGGCTCTAGGAGTGGGGAGTGATGTAGGGACCCTGTCGTTTCCAGATGTGCCCCGTGTCCCAGGCTCTAGGAGTGGGGAGTGATGTAGGGACCCTGTCGTTTCCAGATGTGCCCCGTGTCCCAGGCTCTAGGAGTGGGGTGTGATGTAGGGACCCTGTCGTTTCCAGATGTGCCCCCTGTCCCAGGCTCTAGAAGTGGGGAGTGATGTAGGGACCCTGTCGTTTCCAGATGTGCCCCGTGTCCCAGGCTCTAGAAGTGGGGTGTGATGTAGGGCTGGACCAAAGAGAGAGACTGGTCTCGATCCACAGGTGCCCCGAGCAGGTCTTCCGTGGTCACACCCGGGTGGGAGGAGTCTGTTCACTGTTGTCAACCTTGTACATGAGGCTTTGGGGAGTCAGTGGTAACAGATACCGGAAATATAAGCATCTAGCCCTGTCCCTGTTGTTTTGTTTCCTCTTGTCCAGGTGGGAAGTAATGACTTGACTCTTGTGAACCTTCACCTGGCAACCGCGACCCTCCCTGGGGGCGAGAATCCAAGCAGGAACCACAGTGACAGCCACCGCGTGGCCAGCTTCGCCCAGGCTTTGCAGGAGACCCTGAAAGGTGGGGAATGGTCTTTCTCTGGGGCTGGGCCCAGGCTCCCACTTCTGCGGGGCAGGCAGGGGGTGGCCTCTTCCAAGCACCTGTCTGACCCTGCAGGCCGGTCCGTCCCGCAGCAGCAGTGCACAGGGAGGACACGGCATGGCCACGCCCGCACCCCTGCAGCCCGGCGCCCGTCACGATGAGGGTGTGGTCTGTGCACCTGGCGTGCATGGGCCGTGGTGGGGGCTCGACGACTCTGCCTCCTGTCTGATGGGAAGGACTGGGGGAGAAATCCGGATACCCTTCCCGTGAGACCTCATCCTCCGTCCCGCCGTCTCGGCTGTCCCACGGTGGTGGTGCCACCGGCGTCTCGGCACAGCTTGTCTTGTGAGAGAGAGACAGCTGAAGGTGACGGCGTGGAGCAGCCCCGATCGGCAGTGCGTGGAGCTGTCCTCTGGAGAGAGCGGTGGCACTGCAGGGCCCGGAGCTCAGAAAAGCTGGCTTTTCCTCTCTGCTCCGTCAGTAGCTCCGGGGCCTCAGGAAAGGCACTGTGCCTCGGAAGTCCCACCTGACGGGGGACCCCGGTGCTGCCCTCCCCGAGGGGCCTGTGCGCCGGAACCGCAAGAACCACGCTCACGCTGCTGGGCAGACACGCGTTGACGCGGAACATCCGGGGGTTCAGAGAACACTAAGAAGAGCCGCCCTGGCCGGTTTGGCTCAGCGGTTAGAGCGTCAGCCTGTGGTCCCGAGAGACCCGGGTTCGGTTCCCGCTAAGGGCATGTACTTTGGTTGCAGTTTGTCCCCAGCCCTGGTTGGTCGTGTGGGTGGCAGCCACTCGATGTGTCCCTTTCACGTCGATGTTTCTCTCTCTCTCTCTCTCTCTCTCTCTCTCCCCCTCCCACTCTATCTGAACAAAAAGTGGGAAAATGCCCTCAGGTGAGGATTGAAAGAAAAAGAGCGAACTGCCCACGAAAGGCGGGCTCTCTGTTTCCCAGGCTGTGCCCCCCACAGAACAGACGGCTTCCCGTGTGTGGTTTGCCAGAAGGGAACCCTGCCGCGGCCGCGAAGACGGGAGGTTCGGCCGGGCTGGGTGTCGGGATGCTGACCCTCGGGCGGGGCTCGCAGCCTGGATCCTCGTGTGCTCCGGAGTGTTCACAGTGTCCTCTACCTTCCCTCGTCCCATCGGCCCCTCACCGTGTGGTCAGTTCAGGAAGATTCGACTACCAAAATAATCTGCTCAAACTGCAGTCTTACATCTAAGAAAGATTTTTTTTTTTATTATTGCAGTAAAATATACATAACATAAAATTCACTCTTAACCACTAAGCATACAGGTCGGTGGCATTAAGTACATTCACGTTATTGTACAACCGTCCCCACCAGCCACCAGAATTGTGTCATCATCTCAAACTGAAACTCTGTCCCCATTAAACACTGAGTCCCCTCCCCTCCCTCTCTACCTTCTGCCCCTGAATTAGACGCTCTAGGGACCCACAGCAGTAGAATCTTAATGTGGCTGCTCATTTCATTTGGCCCAATGTCTTCAAGTTTCCTGTATGTTGCAACTTGTGTCAGAATTTCCTTCTTTTTAAGGCCAGATACTATACCGCTGTATACAGACTAAAGAAAAGTTAGGTTTATGTATTTCATTTTATTTATTGATTTTAGAGAGGAAGGGAGAGAGAGAGAAACATTGATGAGAGAGAACATCGACTGGCTGCCTCCTGCACGCCCCTCACTGGGGATCAGGCCCACAACCTGGGCATGTGCTCTGACCGGGAATTGAACCAGCAACCTCTTGGTGCAGGGGTAGACGCTCAACCACTAAGCCACACCGGCCTGTCCAAAATTAGGTTTATAGTTGTGAGTATGCAACACAGTTTATTCTTACATCATTTCCACACAACCAGCTGTAAACCTGCTCTTGCCTTCCCCCCACGCCACCCCGGTGTATACACCACACTGTGTACCTGCCCCTCGGCCAGGGGACGCTCAGGGTGTTTCCATCTTTACTGCTGTGAACACCAGTGTGCAGCTGACACTTCGAGCCAGGACGTGCGGTGACCAGCCTCCTACTTAAATCACGAGTCTTTGGTTGCAAAGGGAGACGCCGTGTAGAAAATTGTTCACCTAGAGTTAGTCTTAACCTATCAGAAAGGATGACGTGGTCGCTTTTAAAACCTGTGTTTCTATTGTTCTCGATCTCAAGCTTTTCCTTTTCTTTAAACGTGGAAACAGAGAGGAGAGGCGCCAGGTCATCAGTCTCTAACCTCAGGGACTCACTGTCTTTTCCTGATGTCCAGGGAGTGGCCAGGTTTTCAGCAGAAAGTCTGGGCAGGTTAACAGCCCAGCTCACCAAAGGGCGGTTGGCCCACAGCGTGGCGTGGCCTTGGCCAGTCGGGCGTGGGCCGTGACGCACACTGCCTGCGTCCCCCTGTGGGCTGGACACAGCAAACCAAGGACTCAGGAAGTGTCGCGGGCTGCCAGGGGCAGCAGCTAAGGCATTGGCATGGGCGGTTCAGCTCAAACAAAGGCCAAGCCGCGTCCCACAGGCTGCAGTCAGCGCAAACGGAACTGATGCGATTCGTGAGCCCTGGGCCTTTCTGCCTTTGGTACATGCGCCGGGTTGACGTCAGTGGGTATGGGCCAGCTGTCTGATGGCATTTTCTTCTCGGCCAGAGTGGGACACCCCATGGGCTTGCTCTGTGGGCTCGGCCAGAGTGGAACACCCCACGGGCTTGCTCTGTGGGCTCGGCCAGAGTGGGACACCCCACAGGCTTGCTCTGTGGCTCAGTGGGAATGAAATACCCCACGGGCTTGCTCTGTGGGTTCAGCGAGAGTGGGACACCCCACAGGCTTGCTCTGTGGGCTCGGCCAGAGTGAGACACCCCACAGGCTTGCTCTGTGGCTCAGTGAGAATGAAACACCCCACTGGCTTGCTCTGTGGGCTCGGCCAGAGTGAGACACCCCACGGGCTTGCTCTGTGGCTCAGCGAGAATGAGACACCCCATGGGCTTGCTCTGTGGGCTCGGCCAGAGTGAGACACCCCACGGGCTTGCTCTGTGGGCTCGGCCAGAGTGAGACACCCCACGGGCTTGCTCTGTGGCTCAGCGAGAATGAGACACCCCATGGACTTGCTCTGTGGGCTCGGCCAGAGTGAGACACCCCACGGGCTTGCTCTGTGGCTCAGCGAGAATGAGACACCCCATGGGCTTGCTCTGTGGGCTCGGCCAGAGTGACACATGGCACGGTGATGCCTGACGTCTGCGTGGGACCATCCCTCCGAGGGCACTATCGACAGGCTCTCAGGAAATCAGCCCTGAGCCTTCTCCCTTCACTCCTGGGAACCCAGGGATGACTAAGGAGCTCACCCAGGGGGGTGCGTTCTGGGAGAATTCAGGCCTCTGTGCACCTGAGGTTCCGAGACAGAGCTGTCTGGATGGCTTCACCACCGCCGACGGAACCAAAAGGAGATGAGTTGTCAGAACCCTGGCTGCGCCTGTTCAGAGAGCCAGGAGAGCTACTGATCTTCATAACCAGAACAAGTAAAGTAGGAGAGAGCCGTTATTTTCATTCCTGAAGTTGCTTAGAGCTGGGTGTACGGACCCTGGACAGCCGGCATCCCTCCTGGATTCAGACCTGTCTCAGCCCAGCCTTCTCAGTCTACACCCCGTTGAACAATCTGGTTGCAGGGAAGCTTCTGCCCTGCCTTTGGGACTGTTTCCCTCGACAGTCCACGCCTGTGACAGCTTCCTCTCCTTTCCTTAGACGTAGACGGCACTTCCTTCCGAGGGGTGCTCGGGCCTCCTTCGCCCATTTGGCCCACACGCGGTTGGCAGTGTCTGTCCACTGTGCGCATGCTCTGTTCCAGGCTCCGTTCCAGGCACCCGGGATTTTGCGATGAGCAGCCCCTGTGTCCTCGTGGCTGCTTCATTCCAGCTCTGTTACGAGCCTGGAGTTGAGGGTGGGCTCAGTGACGCTGGGCGAGCCCGCCAACCTGTCGGAGCCTGACCTTCTTACCAGCCGAAGGGCCTGGCACACGGTGAGGGCTCAGGGGACAGTGATTTACACCGGCCAAGTCGGCACTCCCGTGGGAAGGTGGCACTGATTTCTCAAGACAGCTTCAGCTCACTCCGCTCCAGAGGGGCCAGGGTGGTTCAGTTCAGCGGGAGGGGCAGGCTTCCTTCGCCTCATCCGCTTTTTGTCCCTCGCGCCCCCTAGAGGAGGGTCACCTGCAGTGCACGAGTGCCCTCTGCTGGTGGCTTAGGTCATTTCACTTTAGATTTTTACCCCCCAGCATATGCATATCAAGGAAAAAGATTTGCGGGGTGTCCCAGATACCTTTGGCTTTCGGCTGTGAACTGCTTTCTTCAAAGCCTCCCTTGCAAGAGGTGACAGAAACACTGCTCCCTGTGATCACAGGCTCGCTGACGGGAACCCGAGACACGGAGCGATGGTCAGGCTGTGACCCCGGAGCCCAGCCGGCTCCACGGCCCTTGCAGAATGTCTGCGCACTTTGGAAAGGTCTTCCTAGCGACCCCACTCACCCCAGTGTCGGTCCAACCTTGGGAGAAGTGCTGAAAGTGCTGGGCAGACAGGTTTCCGCTGTGGCTCTGCACTCGGCTCCTGGGGCTGCCAGAGTGCCGCGGGCTGGGTGACCGACACGGCAGACGCTGATTCTCTCCTTTTCTCACGATTCTGCGACCCGAAGTCCCGGGTCGGGATCAGGGTGAGGGGCTCCTGAGGCCTGTCCTTGGATTTCAGACGACCACCCTCTCCCCGTGTCTTCGCTTGGTCTTTCCTCTGTGCTCAGTGTTTCTCGAGCTTTTGTGAAATCTCTGGGCCTGACTCGTCGGCACTTTTCTGCGGTGAGATTTGGAAGCCATGAGCTGGAATAGGGGTGAGCTCGGCACACCCCTCCATTTCCAAGTGTGTTACTAATGTACTCTTAAAGGTTTGGGGATTTTTTTGCCCGGCCGGTGTGGCCCAGTGGTTGAACGTCGACCCTGCACCAAGAGGTCGCAGGTTCAATTCCCGGTCAGGGCACATGCCCAGGTTGTGGGCCCGATCCCCAGTGGGGGGCATGCAGGAGGCCGCCAATTGATGTTCTCTCGTTGATATTTCTGTCTCTCTCTCTCCCTCTCTCTCTTCCTCTCTCTAAACAATAAAGAAAAACATGTTTGTTTGTTTTTTAAAAAGTTTGGGGATTTTGCGCAAGCAATTTGGAAAAATTAGGAGAATGAGAACCACATAGCAGTCCTCACCCCTGAGGGGCGGGGGTGAAATCAGACCCGTGACCCTGCTTAAATTGGGCTGTGGTCAGCACTGGGGTCCTTCCCGCCATGACTTTCACTCCTGTTTCTTCTTCCCACTTGCAGGAGAAAAGGATGTGATCATTCTAGGGGACTTCGGCCAGGGGCCAGACAGCAGTGACCACGACGCCCTGCGGAGAGAGAAGTTCCACCCCCTGGTCCCTGCGCACACCTTCACCAACATCAGCACCAAGAACCCGCAAGGCTCAAAGTCTCTGCACAACATCTGGATCAGCAGAAGCCTGCGGAAGGTTTTCACAGGTAACGCCGGCCACCCCGCGTCCCCTGCGCGGGGAGGGAGGAAGGGAACCTGTCTGAGCAGACAGCTCGCATCCTTACCTCCTCTGGGGGCATTTGTAGGGTCGGAGTTCAGGTGACTCTGTAATTACCATTCCAGCAGAGCCACTTGTAAGAGTGAAGGTGGGTATGAAGAATAGTTAAAAGGCAGTCACTGGTCTGCAACAAGGGTAACCAGGTATGTCCCAGGCAGACCAGGTCATGGGCTGGCAGAGACGCTATGACAGATGAACTGATAACGTACCCTCATTGTAAGGACGCTCAGTCATTCAACAAACATTATTTCTCCAGGCTGTCCCGTGCGGCGCTGGTGTGGCCTGAGGCTGCCAGACATGCAGGGCCCCGGGGAACAGCAGTCGGGTGGACATGTCCCGTAGTGTCACCGCAGGGTGGGAGAGGTGCTTTAGACGGGACCCCACAAGGGTCAGGGGGTTGTGGGTAATCTCAGCCCTGAAAAGCTGCCTCCGCCAAACCAGGAAGCTCCTGGGAGTACTGTTTGGGGTCAGAAAACAATCAGAAATATGGAAACCGTATTTTATGGAACTTGTTCCCCCCACCAGCCTTGCTTTGGACATCTTTGTGAGACATGTGTCCCCGTGTCAGATACTCTCACTGGTCAGATCGGAAGTGGTGTGGTGAGGGGAGGTCAGCCATGGGCGGGCGGGCGTGTGGGTGGGCAGGCAGCCGGGACCGAGGAGTTTCAGTGCCTAGATGGCCAGTGTCACCGGTCCGAAGGACCAGATTGGCCGAGACACCTTGTTTGCGTGGCCGAGGAGTGGTGCAGGGACCCCAGGCCTCAAGGGCAGCGTCGGTCTCCGCCTGCCAGCCTGTGGCCCTGCCCCTCCCCCTCCCTGATTCGGGGTCTCTTCCTTCTCCCCTCAGGTCACTGCGCCGTCGTGAGAGAAGGCCTCACGAACCCCTGGATCCCAGACAACTGGTCCTGGGGCGGAGTGGCCTCGGAGCACTGCCCCGTGCTCGCCGAGTTCTACGCAGAGAAGGATGGGAACAAGCGGGAAGGCCCCCGGAACGGCAGCGGGGTCCCCTTGGAGCGAAGCGAAGCCAACATTAAGCAGGAACGATGATGAGACCGATCATTTTCCCACCTTACTACGGGAGCGCAGGCGGGAGTCAGCCCTCCCAGGGAAGATCCAGGGTCCCCACTGCCTGGTGGTCTCTGTCCGGCCGTCAGCAGCGGGCCCTGACCTGCCCACCCCCTTCGTGGACGTTCAGGACTCTTGGGAGGGCGGTGCCAGTGGAGCACCGGCCTGTCGTCCGATCTGCGGCCCAGACCCCTGCAGACGCGGCCGGCCGGCCATCGCCGCCTGGGTGGCCGCACGGAGCCGTCCTGCGGGCCGGAAGGGAGGGTGCAAGGTGCTCGGGCAGTGAGGCCGGTCCGAGCAGTGCCGGGAGCTCTCCTCTCCGACCACCGGTCTGTGATGTTCTGCTGCACATTACGTAAGCTTCTAACTGTGATCGAGCGTTCTTCTCAAGTACATTCAGTGGTTTTTAGTTTTGTTTTGAAAAATAAACAGAGATGAAGCTGCCTGGCTGTGATGCGAGCCCGGGGCTGGGTCCCCGGCTGTGGGTGTTTGGCGCCTACTTCTGATGCCCCTGTGGGGCGGGGCTCCCAGGGTCCTAAACGCAGAGCAGCCCCTCCAGGTCCCGCTCCGTTTCATCCCCAGCTGCACAGAGGGGCCTCGCACCCCCTCGCCCCCGAGACCATAAAGTCTGTACGTCATCTCCTCTCCCCGGCCTGTCCCTGCCGGACGTCTTTAGGGTGGAATGTCACCGAGCCCCCGAGGCCGGGCAGGTTCCCGGCTGGACAGGAATTCCAGCAGAATGAGATCACTTCCTCCGCCCTCCCACCAGCTCCAGTTTCGATGGATTCCTCGCCCAGAGCCGCCCTGTGTTGATTCTGGACCCACAGGACGGAAGCCTGGGGGTACCCAGGGAGGGTCCTCATCCGGGGCAGCAGGGACAAGCCAGTGTTCACTGCTGGGCACCCTTTCCTGAGCCCAGGGTTACCGTGGGCATTCACAGCAAAGAAACCGAGGCTTGGCTTGCCGGTGCGGCTCAATGGGCTGAGTGTCGCCCCAGGGACTGAGAGGTCCCAGTTCGATTCCCGGTCAGGGCACATGCCCGGGTTGCAGGCTCCATCCCCGGTGGGGGGCATGCGGGAGGTGGCCCATCAATATTTCTCTCACATCAATGTTTCTAGCTCTCTCCCTTCCTCTCTTTCTCTAAAAAAACAAAGGAAAGAAAAGAAAAGAAACTGAGGCTTGAAGAGCTGAGCCTCCTAAAGGTCCCACGGCCAGTGAGTAAACAGGACGCATATGCTGCCCACGCCCACGCCCACACCCACACAGCCCCTCTGCAGCTGCCCACGCCCACGCCCACACAGCGCCTCTGCAGCTGCCCACGCCAGTGCGGTGGCGGTATCAGCCCTGGCGGTGAGCGCGAGTCGGGAGCCCCCGTCACCAGGTCAGCGGGAAGCTGAGGGTTTACCCTCCGTACACACCGAACACGGTGTGGGCCGGTCCCCAGACACCGCCGTCAGGGCGCAGGGTGACCTGACCGTCGGGTTGGCCCTGGGCTGCACGGGCAGCGAAAGGGGCCCGTTGTCCACCAAAGACCGTCTTTTGGGCCACCCGGCTCCAAGGAGCATCACTGGTTGTGGGCAAGGACAGAAGCTCTTTTCTGGGGTTGTGAGGTACCTGGGCATAGGCCATGTCCACTCCAAAGGGGTGTCTCTCCCGCCGAGGAGGAATAAAAAGTCATGGTGGGCTGTCGTTGACTGAAGTCCACAGTTTGCCTGAGGTTCACTCTGCTCACCCCAGGGTTCTGACAGGTGTGACTCACATCCACATCACAGAAACACACAGCACAGAGTCTCTGACCTAAAAATCCCCCGTACCCCGCCTCTTCACCCCCCCCAACCCGAGGCAGCCACTGAGTTCCTGTCTCCAGTTTTGCCTTTTGCACCGGGTCCTAGAATTGGAATCACAGCGTCGGTGGCCTATTCGGACGGACTCTTCACTAACAGCCTGCGGGAAGGTCGCTGTCTCGCGTGGCCTGCTAGCTCGTTTCTTGTCCTTGCTGGACAATACCTCATCAGAATTTATCTGCCAGCTTTGGATGTTTTCAAACCCCCAGAGTCCCCCCCCCCCACCCAGCTCTGCCCACAGGGTGGGCTCCGCCTGACTCTGCCCTGCCCTCCCCGCCCTGCTGCCTTCCTCCTCCTGCCTCCCAGGACTGTAAATGAGAAGTGCCAGAGAGAAGGAAGAAGGGGCATTTTTATTCATTCGTCAAGCACTGTGCACCCTCCAGGCGAGGCCCTGGGGTGGGCAGGACAGAGGGCCAGGAGGACCCCCACCTTCCGGGGTCCTGCGAGAGTCTGGGGTTGTGCTGGCCCAGCAGCTGCAAGGGCCTGGATGTGAGGATCCCGTGTTCTCCACTGTCCTCCCGGTGGGCCCGGGAGAAGGGGCAGCAGGCTCTTGGAGAGGTGGCCGCAGGGACCTGAGGGCCAGCTGTTAGAAACCTGGCCTGTCCCTCCCGCCTTTGCAGAGCCTCACGCAGACAAGCAATTCATTCCTGCCTCTTCCATCACCTGTAGAAAACCACAGGCCCCCTGATAAAGCCCCCTGGGTAACGCTCCTGCCTGCCCCAGCCTGGGCTCGGGCTGGTGCTCCCGGAGCTGGAGGCTGAGGGGCACGGCCGAGCCCAGGCTGGGGCAGGCAGGAGCGTTACCCAAGGCTTCAGGAGGCAAAGCAGCAGCCCAGGGAATCATACCAGCTGATTATATGGCTTTCAAGGGAGAGCTTCCTCGTCTCCAACGTGTGGGGCAGCTGGGGCCTCGCCTGGCCTCGCCCGGCCTCACCTGGCCTCCCCTGGCCTCGCCCGGCCTCGCCTGGCCTCGCCCGGCCTCACCTGGCCTCCCCTGGCCTCGCCCGGCCTCGCCTGGCCTCACCTGGCCTCGCCCGGCCTCACCTGGCCTCGCCTGGTCTCGCCCGGCCTCACCTGGCAGAGGCCGGCCTCACCTGGCCTCACCTGGCCTCGCCTGGCCTCACCTGGCCTCACCTGGCCTCTCCCGGCCTCACCTGGCCTCACCTGGCAGAGGCCGGCAGCCCTGTCTCTTGGGAGGACCTGGAGCAGGTCTGCACAACCAGACAGAAGTCCAGAGTGAGGACAGGAGCAGCGAAATCCCCTGCCCGGAGAAGGCCCTCACCTGTGTCCCACCTGCCTGACACCTGGCACCATCCCAGTTACTAGCCCTGCTGTCTGTCTCTCCCAGGAAGAGCCCGCCCCCCCAGGTGTGCAGACTTGGCCTGAGAGGGCTGAAGACAGGTGCGGGGAAGGGGGGAGGGGCGCCCAGAGGAGCGGGCACTGCCGGTGGCGTCCCAGGCCTGGTGACTCGAACAACTAGCCTCAGGACAGCTCCCAGGGTCCCTGGCTGATGCCATCGGCCCCGCTCACGGTGACGTAACCCACCTGGCCTTCGCAACCGTAAGTGACAAAGTCGGATCCCGACTCAGCCCTGACAGGCCTGGTTTCAGATGTTCTGAGGGGACGGCTCACCGCCAAGGGTAAGCCAGACACGGGACAGCGAGGTCCCAAGCGCGTGAATCGGGGCAAGGAGAGGGGATGTTGTCACCGGGGGCAAGCGGGCGTCTTTGTGGGGGTGGTGTCCTTGAGCTGGGACGTGACCGTGTCAGACGAGGGACGTGACGGAGGGGAGATGGCGTTCTGGGGGCGGAACCGAAGGCGGGGTGTGGGGGGCGGGAGGGAGGTGTCGGCTGGTCCCCTGCGGCAACAGCGCACAGTGTGGGCTGGGAGAAGCGGAATCGCAGCACAGGCCAGATCTTAGTCTAGGAAGAGGGGGCGTCCCGGCTCTGGGGCGTCCTTGCAGTCAGAGGAAGAGGCTGCGCAGAGGGCGAGGGAGCCTGGTAAGAAAAGTGCAGGCTGCTGAGGTTTGCCTGTTACTTACCTCGTGCTCCCTGGGCCCCGGGGCCCCAGAGCAGGAGGAGCCAGGGTCCCGCTGGGACAGGGTGGGGAGCCAGGGCAGAGGTGGGCTCTGGGGGGCAGTGTTGAGTGGCAGAAGGATGTGGGTTTCAGTACTGACTGCCCTGACCAGCTGGGACGCCCCTGGGGTGCCTGGCTGGACCATAACATGCTCCACGGTTGCTTTGTCCCTGGAGAGCCCTGTCCTTGTGTGGTTCCCGTGGCCTGGGCAGGAGGGACGAGGGAGGAAGGGGAGGCCCAGAAGAGACCCCCCACCTGATTGCAGTTTCCTGACTTTGGGGGGTCAGACCACGTAAGGCAGGCTTCCTGTGGTGCTGTAGGTTCTGGGGAGCTTAATGCTTCGTGCTGAGCAAGCTTCGCTCCCGCTGATGGTCGGAGACGGAGGTGAGCTCGCCTGGGGCCTGCTGACTCCCACTATGGTGACTGAACTAAATGTCGTCGTCAGGGGTGGGGAGCATTAAGGACGACAGTTTTCCTGTGACGGTGAGTCTGTGGCCCATGTCATGTGCCTGCTTCGGACAGAGGACAAGCTGGCAGCCACCGGGCCCGGGCCCACTGTGTGCCCTGTGACAATGTCTTCGCTGTGAGTCCTGACACTTCAGGCGGAGATTCCGCACATGGCTTTACCTCTCAGCCCACGGGACACCGTCTCGGTTCTGGTTTCAAGGGATCCTGTGAATTTTCAGGGCTGAAGGACAGGGAGTCAGGACACGGCAGGATGAGGCAGCTACACTGTAGACTTGCTGGGCGCAGGTGGGCAAGCTGTGGATGGCCTGTCCCTCGGACAGTGTCCCATCTGACCGCGCTGTCACAGCGAGGACCCGAGGGCCTGCTGACCGAGCGCTGCCCAGCTGGAAGCCACCCCCAGGCTCACTCAGAATGTGGAGTGGACTTGGTTTAAAGAGTCTAGAAATGTGGCAGAACCTCCTACAATAATAGTGAAGACAGGGACGAGGGTGACTACAACCTCGAGAAGAGATGGGGTGGTTTAGTAGAATTCTAGTGTGGCCTTCCTGGGTGAGGTACGGGATTCCCTCAGGGACAATCACCACCCGCACCTCCGTAGTTCAGCAGGAAGCGGGACCCATGATGCATCCAAGTTGACGGACAGCAGCACCATCGGTACCATGTCTGTTTCGTTGCGTCTGAGTCCTTGGCTTGCTGTCCCCATGGAGCTGGCATTACTTATGTCACCAGACCCGGGACCAGTTCTGGACCGATACTGAGTAAATCCTCACTACTTATGGAACTTGGAGAAGCTGGAGCTCTAGGAATTTTTTTGAACGTTTCTTCTGAATTTTGCTGAGCATCATTGGTCATTCTTTACTCATCCGAGTCCAAACTGCCAGAGAATTTCTAGAAGGCTAGTCTTTTCCTCTTTCTCCGGCAGAGGGGTCTCATGGGCCTGCTGGGAGCACCAGGCAGACTAGTTGGGGTGCCATGAACACACAGGTGGGTTAGACCTACGAGCCTCGCACACAGCTTCCAGATGGGCCCTGGAACCCCACT